AAAGGTAATTTTAATATATTTGATTTAAAAATTCGCTATATCAAGGGTTCGCTATATCAAGGTTTGACTGTATATTAAACACTAATATAAACAATATTATTTTAATCATTATTACTTATATTATAAAATATTATTTTATAAATAGCAATTAAATTTTTTTCTTTCAAAAGAACAAAAATTATAATTTTATTTATCTTTTTTTTTCAACTCATAAACTTGGTATTCAAATTTCATACTATTTTTTTTTTTTACAAGATATACTGTAGGTTTTAATTTTTTTTTAAGTTATTAATTTTACTTAGCTAATCTTATTCTTTATTTTGTTTTTTCTTTCTTTAATAAAACTGATAATTCTTAAAGTAACCTATTTGCAAAATATTTTTGTCATTCCATAATATTTTTTAGAACTTTTATTTTTTCAAAGCTTTTTTTAAATTGTTATTTTTTTTCTTTACTTTTTTTATTCTCCACTATTTAGTTATTTCAAAAGCATTTAAATAATATTCAGATGTTTTCCTTCTTCAATTCTAATACTCTTTCTAACTCCTTTTTCTTTTTTTATAATACCTTAATTTTCTTTTTATATTTTTCACTTTATTTAATAATGTTTACAATATAATTAAAATAAAACCTACTGAATTATCAATAAATTCTTCTATCATTTTTTTGATAGTAATAGTATCAAATTAAACGTTTTAATAATTTTAACACATTTTCTAGTTTTATTAGGATTTACTGACATTCTTAACTTGCTCTTTCCATTTATTTTTTATTTAGTTTCTTATATCACTAATAACTACTAGGTACATATAGACTAGTTTTACTAATTTTATAATCAAATTGATCAGTAATATATCAGATTTTTAGTTTAAATTCTTCAATTTTATCTTTTTTTATTGAGATTAAATGATAAATTTAATTTAATAGTTATATTATAAAATAATTTAATATTTAAACAGTAATAATTTAATAATATTAATTTATTATTTTAAATAATATTGTTTTATAATTTAAATAATACTAATTTGGTAAATACTAACTGTATTATTTTTATTATTTTGATACTTTACATAATATTGAGCTCTTGATAAGAAATAAACGATGAAAGATTGCTTCATTACAAGCCACATCAATATTTTTGTTATCACTATTTTTTGGAAAAATATCCTCAAAATACATATCACATGGCTCATGTACAGCTTCATTTTTATATTTAAATAATATCAATTTGATACTTTTAAAATATTAATTTATTACTATTTTAATGATATTGTTTTGATACTTTAAACAAAAAAAGTTTAATATTTTAAGTAATAACAATTTAATATTTAAATGAGAGCTGTTCAAAATCCTGAAGATTAAAATTCCAAATAATCATAATTTCAAATTATCATAATCCTGAATAGCTATAATCATAATTTTTATAATTTTAAAATTATAATATAATAGTTTGTTAATTGTAATATTTGATTTGTATTATATAATATTAATAAAATTTTATTAATAAATTTTAAACTTTTTTCGACAAGATAATATAAGGCCTTTGCAATAGAAAGAGGAAACTACCAGGAAAATCAATTTTACTTTTATATGTCAAATATGATTTTTAGGCTGAAATATGTTCAAATTTAGCATTAACTCATTTTTATCTTTTTGGCAGTTTCTCTCCTTTCTATTACAAAAACCCTATATATTATATAATTTAGCAACTTTCATTTATTTTTATCAATGATTGACAAATATCTTAAAAAGTAGTCAGATAAAGTAAAAGCAAATATTTAAAAATCTTAATAAACTTTGTTAAACTTGTGATAGAACTCTTTAAAATATATTTAATATTTTTAATATTTAATAAAAATAATATTTAGGATTATAGTCATTCAGGATTATAATTGTTTAGGATTATGTTTATTTGAAATATTGACCCTTTGAGATTATAATCATTCAGAATTATAACTTTAAGATTTTGATTCTTCAGAATTATAATCTTTGGGATTTCATATCAAATACTTTTAAACAATATTATTTTAATATTTAATATAAAAATAATATATTTAAATTAAAAGTACTAATTCAATATAATTTTATTAACATAATAATTTTATAATATTATTTACATTATCTTAATAATATCAATTAGATATCATAAACTATATTAATATAATATTATTAATAATATTAAAATAATAATTTTACAATATATTTTATAATATTAAAATGAAAAAAATATTAAATAATGTTATGATATAATAAAAATATATTATAATAATATTATTAAGATATTGCTTGAATTTATAAAGTTTTTATAAAATAATTAAAAATAATTATCTAATTTTTAATAGTATAAATTACTTTTTACTATTTAATTATTCTAATTAGTTATTTTAATTTATTATAATTTTAATATATTATATACTAATTAGTTAAAACAATTAAATTCTAATTAAGTATAATTGATAATAACAAAAGATACATTATAATAAATTAAAATTATTATTATAATTTATATTAAAATTATATTTTAAAATTAGTAAATAATTAGTTATTAAAAATTTACTAAATTATTATATGCTAATATTATTTTTTATCAATATAAAATTAGTATTTTTTGATATAAATTATTAGAATAAATTTAATAAGCTAAATTTTATTATTTTATAATTATAAAGTAATAAACTGGTTTAATATTTTTATATGTTAAAATATAGATTCTTATTAATAATTTAATATATAAAGTATAATAATATAATTTATTATCTTATAATTAAAGAATGATAAATACAACTTATTAAATTTGTTATAATAAATAATAAGAATTTTATATAAATAAAATAATATAATAAATAATAATTTAGAAATATTTTATAATATGGGAGCTTTGCAATAAAAAAGGAGGAAACTCTAAAAAAATTTTTTTTTGAGTTAATGTTAAATCTGGACTTATTTTACAAAAAAAATCATAATTAGCTTAGAAAGTAAAATTTAATTTTTTTAGAGTTTCCTCCCTTTCTATCTTTCTATTGCAAAGCTCCCATATCTACAGATAGTTTTTATAATTGTATTTAAATTTCATTTGAGTTGCAACCTAATTGCGATATTAATAAATTAATTTAATTGCAACAATTATAACATTTTTGGTAATTGCAATGCTATTTCTAATATTTATTATTTTAAAAAATATAATTTTATCATTTTTTATTATTAAATATAATAAACCATTTTACAATTAATATTTAACTAAATATTTTGATTTAAATTATTTTAAAAATAAAACTGTTTAATATTTTTATAATACTAATGTAATTTTACTTTTTTTTAACCCTTTTTTATTTATATTTTAATTAAATATTTGAATTTAACTTAAATTATAATTAAAATAACTAAATAAAACTTAAAAGATTTAACAGATTATTTAAATAGTAAAAAATACGCAAATTATATTAACAATTAATTTCAAATTTACAACTTGTTGCAATGTAAGCTAAAATTAATTGCAACGTATGTAGCAATAGTATAAGTTGCAATATATATAAGTTAAAACTAATTACAATGTATTTTTCAGATAATTTACCTCTTTTCTATTGCAAATGCCTCATATTTTTACTATTTTTATAAAATTAGATATAAATCAATATTTTTTAAATTTTATAGATTTTTTTAATAAGATTCTAATTAAAAATAAAAATTGTAATTAATAAAAATAAATTAATGTTAAATTTGAATATATTTTAACTTAAAATCATTTTTGGCATATAAAAGTAAAATTGTTTTTTTTTCTAGATAATTTTACCTTTTTCTATTATAAAGATTTATATCAAAATTTTAATAAAAATTTAGCAAAACTAAAAGTTTAAACATTTCTTACTAAATTTATAATAAATATAGGTTAATAAATTTAAGAATAAATAAAGTTAATATTTTTAAAATTAAACTAATTCAATTAATAATTAAATTATAATTCTCATATTAATAACTTAATTAATTATTAACATCTATATTAAAGATATTTTTTAATTTTTTATAAACTATTTTCTTTACAGATTAACTTAATATATTATAAACTAAAACTTTATATAAAATAAAAATTATTTATAAAATTATTTAAATAAATTTAATTATAAATTTTTAATTTTTGTATATAAACGTGTAAAATTGTAAATCTTTAATTGTATTTAACCAAAATTTTGTCATTATAAAAAAAGGTGATATATAGCAATTTTGTTAAAACTTTATAAACTTTATAAAACTTATTTATGATTTAAGTATAACATATATATATATATATTTACATAAAATTTACTTGCTTGAAGCAAACTTACAATATGACTTACAGTGAGACCAACGTTATGGACATTTTAAATCAAAATTAACTTGTAGAAGGAGCAACACCAGAAGCATCATCATCGTGATGAATTGTAGATTCATCATTTATGTCATCAATACTAGAACCATCTTCAGCTGAGAAAAGAGCATTAAATTCATGACCACCCATACAACCAAATAATTCTTGCATAATTACACCTAATTTTTCCAATTCCCTAATAATATCTTCCATCACGAGAGCATATGCATAATAAATGATGTAATGTTCATCATCATGTTCAATAATACGTTGTTTAACAACAGGAAGATTTCTAATCTTTTTGACTAATCGTCCTCTCGCTTTTTCAGCAGGTGGTAAATAAGGTGGTAAGGGGGTCTTTAACCTTAAGGCAGCGGCAAGGATATAAAAATATAATAACACATTCCCAACCAATTCTTTTCTTTCTTTTGATATTGGTATAATAAAATCGCGACGAACTAATTTATACCACTCTTCTTTTGTCACGGCAATTCTCATTGAAAGTAATTTATCTAAAATATTTTGACATCCCGTTAAAATTTCACTATAAGTGTGTATGGGAAATGGTCCTTTCATACGTGGTTCATTTGGTGTTTGTGCCAATAAATCTCTAAGTTTAAGTAAAGATACTTGTAAAATCAATTCCATGTCCATAAATTCTTTTGTTGATTGTGATAGTCGATGTGATGCTTGTGGTGTCAATCTCACTGACGAATGTTTCGAAGAACTTGTCACATCACCTTCATTTGACGGCTGAACTTCGGGCATAACAGAATAAACGGCTACCAATTTCTTATACAACCAGCTCATGTTAACAAATAGTTGACTTAACCCTTTTCGTAATTCTACACGTGCTTCATATGGCCACCAATATGATGTAACAAGTACTCCCCAAATTATACCCGTGCCAACTGCAATGGCCCGATATCTTGCAATGTCAATAAGGTCAAGATTTTCATCTTCATTATCGGAATTTTTAAGATTAAACTTGTATAAAGCTACCAAGTTATAAGTTAATAAGATGAAAGTTCCAATTCGATTATATTTTGTATAAAGTATCATATTAAAGCATCCCATGGCGATAAAAAATCCAATGATTGATATCACAAGTCCATTGTGCGGAAATAATGTGTAAATAACCCACGCAAGGTACGATCCGAATAATGTTCCACCTGCACGATAAATTCCTATAAGATTTGTTCCCCCTACCGTTGGAACCATCACGACCATCATCTAATTAAATCAATTAAATTTAAAATTAAGTTAAAATTTCTCAAAAGGAGGAAAAAAAATTGCCCGAAAAAAATATGCTCACAGAAATACAAGCCCATTCACCACGATATTCTCTATAAATTTCTCTCGTTTCCTCAATAAACGCGGGACTTGCCAAAATAGCAGCACTAACAGCGGCCTTAAAAGCGTATTTAACTTCAAATTGCCTAAACCAGGAAAGTGATTGCCAAATTTTAATAGTAAGTTTATGTGCTAAAGTTTTTGGTTTCGGTGTTTGAATCGTATCAAATAAATTATTTGTATTTTCAGGAAATTTGTCTTTGACCTTATCATAAAAATTTTTGTCAAGTGTCGGATAATTAGAAGTATCGTGTTTAAACCAACCAAAATAAATCCAAAATTGCCACCATCTTCTCATTTCTTTTTTTTCTTGTTCTTTCCCATCCATTATTTGTATACGACCAACTAGGTCTATTAAATCCGTTAATTCTCTCGTAAATTCTTGTAAATTGAATACAAAAAAGTAAATTAAAAAAACTTCTTCGTTTGGTCTACTACTCGCGGTTTTTTTACGATAAAGACCTGTAAGTGATCTTGATTGCGACTTTTCAAACAAGTCTAAAGCAGATTTTAAATTTTGCTGAAGTAATGTCGGGGTTGTTTTTGAAAATGCTGAAGGTGATTTAATAAATTGATCTTGTAAATGTGAGATGGTTTGTTTACATGTGAACACTAAAGATTTCATTGGAGGTCCAACGTATCGAATGAATTCTAACAAGATACCCAAATCCCCGAATTCTTCTTCATCTGAAAAGTTTCCACTTTGATTTTTATTTTGATTGAAATCTTCAGACGATTTCGTTTGATCCGTTGAATTTTCACCACTTTTACTTTTCTCGTCTTTAATAATTTCCCATTGTAATCCACAACAACTTCTTAAACCACCCAAATGTTGTGCCAATCTATGCAAACTTTTGATCACCTCCTTATAAATATCAAGTTGAGATTGCATATTCCGATTATGAACCTCAAATGACGCTTGATAAAGCGATGCTTTTAGGGATGTGAACGATGCCCTGTACGATGCAATCGCGGATTGAACCGATTTGTCTGTGTAATGAATATCATCAATGAGGAAGGTCTTGGTAAGAAGTTTTAAAAGGAGGTTAAAGGATCCTAAAGTATTCCCGATCTCTGTCCTATTATGGTGAATTGAATTGAAAGTTTAGGTTTATTGAATTCAAAAACAATCAATTAAATCATAATAAAAAATGTTATGATCACAACTTACTTTAATTTCTTACTAGCACTAATCGGCCAGATACATACTGACACGAGAAAACTTATGCATATTCCGATTAATATGATTTTCGTCACACTAATTATTTTATCTAGTTTAAATTCACCTAAATAAGCTGCCCCCTCCTTGGTTAAAACTACAAATATGATAATATTCGCGAGAGAACATGCTATAATTCATTGAAATAATTAGAAAAATTCATTAAAAAAAAAAAAATTATTTGATCAAAGCTGTAGATTAACTTACCGCTATTAAAGCTTGGTTTATTCAGTTTGGCTTTAAGAAAGGCCACAATAAACATACTTCCACCACACCAAAATACAACGGTTACAATATGTCCCAAAGTATTATAACCCTGATCGTTAAACCAAACAGCACAAGCCATACTACCAATACCAACCAAAGATCCATATAATCCACCCATGAGAGCAAAAATGACCGCCTCGTAAATTCCTCCAACAGTTTTAGCAGGATTATAAAATACTGCAACCGTTGCTACTAAATGAGAATTTTGTGATTTTCTCAATCCCGCCCATTCATTTAATATTGGTACAAAAGTAAACAACGACGCGATAAAATACGCTAACGCGCATTTAATGATGTTTTTTTGATTTGGTGTAAAGGTATTTTCGTGAAACCAATCTTTAACTCTCCCAACCTTTGCCTTTAATGATTTATCGTTTTTATGGTGTTGATTCTTATCATAATTTGATTCTTCGGAGTCTGAAACATTATAACCATGAAGTAACGGGGTATGTTCAGAAAAAGAATTTCTGAATTTAAAAAATAAGAAATAAACTATGTTATTATGATGAATTTCAAAGTAGAGATTGCTAAAGCGGTACAAACCTTGAAGGTTCAGAAGTTAAAGAAATTCTTCTCCTTTGTAATGAACCATCATCCATTATAACACTAAACAAACTTTCATCACCGGGAGAAATGGAACGAGGATCATCATAAATCACACCACTATGGAAGAATTCATCCAACCGAGTTGTAGATGAAGGGGTTCCGGTCATCAAGTTATCATTATGATGTCTATCATTATAATTTCTTAAAGCACTCCAAGGAACCCTATCGCTAGAATATGATGGAGTATAAGTAAATGAAAATGGAATTTCATTTTGATTACGAGATCTATGAAATTTACGAGAAGTGGGGGTTGTTGGTGGATCCTTTTTTATTATCCTTTTTGGGAATGTTGAAGATTCAATGGATGGAGATACACGATCAACTTCTTCTTCAATTGGTTGTAATGCGGTATCAATAGCAATTATTCTATCCACGCTTGGTTCACCGTGCGCTTCTTGACTTTCTATCGTTACAGGCGGATCATAAGTTGAACCGAGGTTATCCTCCCTGTATGAAGGAAAGCTGAAAATTATTTAAAATATTATGTGAGATCTAAGAAAGTTGATCCATTAAAATTAAATAAAAAAAAATAAAAATAAAATAAAAATTGATCATTTTATCTTACTTCACAGCACGACGGGAAGGTCGTGGCTCCGGCACATTAATTGGAGCGGGATTTTGTGCTGATTGTTCGGATTCATTATTCGGTAAATCACTCATTTTAATTAATTTTATGATTATTTTTACCAGAACAAATTTATATAAAGCAATTTTTTTTTCAATCTAAACTCAAACGCCAAGAAATACAAAAAGGAAGACATGCAACTGAGAGTCGCAAAACTGCATAATCTATTGATCTCACGTAATATATACTTTCTATAAATGGATTGATTAATTATACATTGAACGAAAAAAAAAAATTTTTTTTTACCATCAAAATATGAGCAGATCCGGAAGAACGAGACTAGAATTTTTAGATCAAAAGTCCAGGATTAAATCATCAAAAATGATCATTTCTAAAAATGTATAAATAAATTAATTAAAATATAACGTTCACGCCCAATTAAATAATCAATTTAAACATTTTTAGAAAAAAAAAATTCTTAGAAATTCAACTAACATGGAAGCGTTATCAGAAGACACACGAAGTAACGAACAACTTGCAAATTGCTATCAATTTTATCCATTCGAAACAATTGTGTTGTAAATTGAAAACCGTATCAAAAATCAATTACATGAAAACGGGAAAGATTTCAATAAAGAAAATACAATGGACAATAAATAATTATAACTTTGCTCCAAAAGTGAATATTAGATGAAATAATAATAGCAATATTAACATTATTATTAATGTAATTCATTTATTTTTATTTATTTTTTTATTAAAGAAAAAAAAGGAAGTATAATTTAAATAATTGGTCTGGTAGTCGTTGAATCGAATGCTTTGAATAGATTCCTTTGATAATTTCTGACTTATTGAAAAAATCAGGATGGTTGCAATCGTTCTTTTAAATGAGAATATTATTCAAATTATCTTAGTCTAATTGCACATATAATTATTTTCTATATCTGTGAATAATTGTATCTTTACAATAATATTTCTCAAGATTATAACAAATAAGTTAGGACCAACAATTTCTAATGATATACCTAAATATCTGGATGTTATTATCAATATAACTTTATTTTTTAACTTGGGTTATGAAAACGATTCATAACGCGATGTTATTCCAAATCCAAATTAAAATACTATTAAATAAATTTAATGTTCAAATTTGTAAATAGGACCGCGACTACTTCAATTTGTTGCTAGATTTTTGGGTTCGCAACAATGAGGTTGTTGATTCGCCAAAATAATTGGTAAGTCAGTCATTGATAAAAAGCGAAAATGGGGACAATTTCTTTAAATGCCAATTACTAATCTTTTTTAAAATTTAAAAAAAAATTATTTATTATTATTTTAATAAATCCAATTGTATGTTGGAAAAGGCTTTTAATCTATTAAAATTTTGCATAAACTTGAAAGCAATATCAACATTATACAATATTGCCCGTGCTTGCTTTATTCTTTACAAAATGTAGCTTTTCGTTAAAAGTTATATAAAATTTTCTATAATTCGGTGGGTTAATTATTTTCGAAACAATTTACTTTGTCTAACTAAGTAGGGAGGGAGATATATTGAATATGCTTTTGTGAAAGTTTCACTTAAAATTTTATCATTAAAACATTAACGGAATTAACGAGACTTTGAGCATGTTAACTTGCCAACGGTGAACGAAAAACTATTGATGACAAAAACTTCAGAGTCCCAATTTTACAACCCGTGAGGTCATATATCGTACTGGAAATTCTTTATCAATGAATTTATTTAATATTGCATAGTTTAAAATTATTATAATTCTAATTAAAATAACAAGTCATTTTGATAATGACATTCGTTAAATCATTATATTGCTATATATTCAGTCACTCTTTTTGCAGCCATTTGATTTTCTAATATAATATATCTCCTCTTGTGGATAAAAATCAGTCATATTTTTTCGAAAATTTTCAAAATGTTCTAGCCATTTTTCGTTGCTTTTTCTAGTTCAATAATACTTTGATGTTGGGTTGTAAATATTATTTAGAAGCTAAAGTACAGTTATAATTGTTGTTTATTATTATATGGTTTCATTTTAATTTTTAAAATTATATTTATTGATAAAGTTAGTAAAACATATATTTATTCGAAATCATTTTTTATCATGGGCGTTAGTAACCATGAAATATTTTAATTATTTACCGATCAATCGCCGATATCACAGGGATCTCGGCTCCCTGATGATATCTCTGATTTCGCGGTAAATAACTATTACATATAGTTCTACAGTAGTTCATAATATCTTTCATTTGAGCTTGAAGATTTGTCAATAACTTGGACATCTATACAATACTACAAGGAGATTTTTTCATATTTACCATTTACTAACATATTTGAGGGTGTTTGTTCACTTATCTTTTGAGTATAAATAGTGTATAAATGGATATATACACCAGATATTTGAAGTAGCAATATATATCCCTACTCTTTATTTATCTTTTAACTATGAATGAATATAAACATCCTCTTAAAATCTTAAGTTTATACACTCTTATTTTTAGATAAAGGTTTCTTTTGATCAAATATCTACTCCTTTCAAACCAGATAAAAGTATCCTCTAAAATATTATAATGTCTTCCAATTTTAATAAAATCACTTCTAAAAATTATAACATAATATTCTTTTAAGAACTTGTCACAATATCATTATTAATTTCACATTTTTATTAAAACACAGGTTATATTTTAAGAGTCACAACAAGCTATCAATTTAATGAAATCTTATTTAAACATCATATACTTACCAAAGAGAACATAATATGTTTTTTTTTTTTAATAAACTTATTAAGTTAAAAGGATTTTTTGATGAAAGAAATCTATAATAAAAAAATAATACATTTAATTATTTTTTAACTTATAAAGATAATTAATTCTTATCCTTTTTTTTAAATATTTTATAATACATTATTTTGACATACTTGAATTAGTTTAAATATTTTTTATATGATAATACTTTTAGTAGAATTTTTTTTTAGGTATGTATTAAGAAATAAACTAATAGAAATAACTATTGTTTGACTAATTTTAATGATATCTACTAGGGTTTAAAATCAAAAATCAGAAAATCGCTAAAGTTGAAAATTATTTTCAATAACAAATTTTAATCTTAAATTTAATAAAATTGTTTAATTAATGATTTTAAATTGATTTTTATCCAATCTGATTAAATAGGCAAAAATAAATTATACAAAATCAATAAATATAATAAATTTATTATAAATTATCATCTTTTCTTTTTGAAAATAATATGGCTATAATAACACATACAACTACATATTAAAAACTTAAAGTTTTTAGAACTATAAAAATAATAGTTCTTAAAAATTTAACATGAAATAGTTAACTTACAAAATTATGAAGATGAAAATTTTATTTCTAACATATCAAGTTCTTTAAATAATGAAAAAAAATGAAGAAATTAAATTTAATTTGATTAAGCATTTTAATAATTTGTTGATTATAAATAATATTAATATTGAAAAATAAAGTATTATGTCAAAAAATCAATAAAATCAGATAAGAGGTATAACAATTTTTTCTGAACTAAAAAACAAGTATATTATTTATTAAGTTTGTAAATTGTGAAATAAAACTTAAATTTATAATAGATCAGCATTAATGAAAACTTACTTAATAGTATATATCATATGATAGAATTATTTTTAATAAAAAATCTGTTAATAATTATAAAGACAAACTATTAAAAGGATAACTTACAGAATAATTAATTTATTAAACATATGAAATAATACATTTATATTTACTACAAAAAATAAAGTAATTTAATATATTTTATAATTGAACCTGATCAATCTTTATTAATTATTAAATCTAATTTATTAAATATCTGTATTATTTATATCCTTATATATAAAAATACTATAAGAATAATTTGATAATTCTTATTATTCCATATAATATAAAGCATAATCTATGTATAAATCTAGTTATCTATAACTTTATATGGAATAACAGGTTTATTTTATTGTATATGATATATATATTAGTAAAATTATTAATTTTTTTTAGAATTGGCTTTTTTTTATTTTTTTATGTCTTTAATGTTATTTTACAAAATTAATTTTATCACATTGTCTTATAGAAGAAGCAATTTATAAATAAAAGTAAATGAATATTATGCAATAATTTCAAGTAGATGAGAACAAAAAGCCAATTATATTTTTATATTTATAATAAAGAAATACATCAATTTCAAAAATTTAGTTATATATTTAATATATATAATTAACTAACACAAAATTTTATAATACTTATATAGATATTTTATATTTTAATTATATTTTTTTTTAATTAATAAAAGCTATAAGATTTAACTATTTAATACCATTATTACTATTATCTTATAAAAGAAAATATTTGAGAAAATAATCAAAATTTAAAAATATATATTCATAATACAGTTAAATATATACATATCTTTATATTAATAAACTGATATTAAAATAAGCAAGTTTATAAAATAAATTTTCTTATTTATAATTACATCAATGATACTTATTATAAACTAATAGAATAAGTGATAAGAAATTCCACCAGTGTATACATAATACTAATAGGATAAAATATATTATTTGTCAGTTCAAAAATTATTAAACAAAGCTAATAATGTAAGCCTTACTTTTGATTTAATATATAACAATCTTATCTTAGTATTATTGTTTATTAGATTAATGAAAAATTTTATTCATATGAATTTTTACTTAATATGGATAAACTTCTTTATCATATGATGCATTTACAATCAAAAAAGAAATTAATTATATTATTTAATAATTCTTTAAAGTTATAGCAATTATTATTGATAATAGAAGAAATGTTAAATTAGCTATAAAATATCTTGGTATTAGTAAAAGAATTCCTTGTTCTGCATATACAATTCAATTAAATGTATTAAAAAGATTAGAAAAAGTGTTATTATTAACATTTAAATGTAAAGAATTAATTTGTTTTTTTGCTAGTGATAACAATTAAGAAAAGCATATTAAGGATGATAATATACAAAATGAGTTAAATAATAAAAATTCTATTCTTGATGTTATCAAAGCTAATAATACATAAT